GCACTGGAGCTGAGGAATTTCCTTCACATAAGGGCTGGATCAGATGATGAGATCGTGGACTGCAGGCCTGAAACCATACCGGGATGAGACTTTTGGGGAGGAGGTAGTACATTCTGTGTGGGAAACAAATGTGAATTACCGTAGCAAGTGGGGGCAGACTGTGGTAAATTGTTTGAGAAAATGACCACCACCAGTCCTCCCATTCCTAGATGACAGTTCCTTTACAATGTGAGTCTCCTACTCCTCCCAACAAGATGCGAAGTCCACTCCCCCACCACTGGAATCTGGGCTGGTCTTATGACTTCCTTTGATCAGCAGAATGCAGCAGAAGTGATATATGGGACGGTAGAGCCTCATCTATAGCTTGTCTTGCCATCTTGAAACCCTGGGACCTCCATAAATAGATGTTCAAGCTAGCCCTCTTGCAGATAAGAGACCAACTGGAGAAAAAGGCCCAGGTGACAGGCCACCAACTGCCAGAATGTGAGTGGGGCTCTCCTAGACCATGTAGCCCCGGGGAAGCCACCAAATTACTGTAACCGCTTGAGAGATCCCAGCCGTATCAGCAAACTGCCCAGCCTAGACCAAATTATTAATCCATAGAGTCATGAGCAAAAAAGTGGTTCCTGTTTGAAGACAGTTAGGGGATGGTTTACTCTGCAGCCATGTATGTGGCTAGAATGGCAGATGTGGTTTCACTTCTTCAACTACATGTTGCATTGGCAATCGGAAATCGGGGGAGGACAGCTTGCGGTAATTTTCCTCAAATGGAGACTGAAATGCCATGGGCAATAAAGGCTGCAGGGATTCACATCCCAGTTCGTGGAGTGGAGTAAGACCACAGAATCCCCTCAAGCCCTCTCCAGGCAGCTTATTCCACCTCCATTCTCACATCTGCTCTCTGATGCTTGAAATTCCTTTGGTGGGGGGTTAAGATTTCCACTACGCAAGCTAAAATACATTGCTTTAATATATGTCACTGTATTAAATGGGGACACACGAGAAAAGTAACCTACTTAGTTTCCCCAAGACCTAACTGTTGTACAAGTCTGTTTGGGCTGCTGTAACAGAGTAGTACAGACTGCGCCACTCAGAAACAACAGAAGTTGATTTCTCATAGTATGGAGGCTAGAAAGTCCAAGATCAAGGTGCTGGCAGATTCAGTATCTGGTGAGACCCTGTTTCCTGGTTCACAGAGGACTGACTTCTTGCTGTGTCCTCACACAGTGGTAGGAGCAAGGGAACATTCTGGGGTCTCTTTTATAAGGGCACTAATCCCATTCATGGGCGCTCTACCCTCCTGACCTAATCACTTCCCCAAAGTCCCACCTCCTGACACTATGGCAAGGCAGTCAGGTTTCAGCGCACGAATTTTGGAGGGATGCAAACATTCCGTCTGTAGCACTGCCATCAGTTCTTTCCTTAAAAGCGGGTTTTGGGGGCAGGTGAGAGCACTGGTCGCCTGGGCTATCTAAGTTAAAGCACTATTTGGCCAGGATTCTGTCCAGGATACAACCTTAGCCTGTGCGATGGGAGACAGGAAGAACCACAAAAATTCTCGTTTTCTGAGGTTGGTTCAGAAGAGTTTTAAAGATGTTCTGAAGTGATGAAGAAGAACCACAGAAACATGGAGAGGGATCTGGAAGTCAGACAACTGCCTCTGTTGGCTTTTCAAGGCATCTGTCAGTTTGGAAAATTTTCATCCCGCCGTGCTTAGTGGGGATCTTGCTTCTCATCTGGGTGAAAGGCCGGCCTCTACCACAGTGTGGTTCAGTTGCCCACTGGCTCTGGAGTTCTCCCTGACTCCCACCAGCAGCACAGCGCTTAAGGAAAGCTCAGACTAGAAGACCAGCGATGTTTCTGGACCTGTGTGATGGTGGGGCCATGTCTACTGGTAGTTTCTGAGGGAAATGCACGGCAGGTAAATGAGACGAAATGTTGCAAATGACTTCGGGTGGTTGCTTCAGCTATTTTTCAGTTTTAAAAGCCAGGTCTATGTTCCCGCACTGAAAATTCTACCAGACTGTGGTGCCATCTACATGGCTGGGCGCTTCCAAGTCTGTTATCTTCATGGCTTGGCTTTTGTTTGGTTGAGAAGATAAGCAGATGGACATGTCTGCAGGGTTAGAACATGAGTGAAGGCTCTGGTGTAAACTCAGAGCTTCTGGGTGTAGGACGCAACCGACGGCTACACGCACTGTACGCGTGGGGTTATTACTGCCCAACGACTGGAATAACAGCTCGTGAAACAACGCTGCAAACTCCGATTATTCACTTCCGCCTCCTTCTCCCTCCAACAGTGTGACGCTATACATCGCAGGGTTATTACTTCACTCATCACATGAACCTTTGGCCTAGTGACTTATCCCTCGAGGCACGCTATAATCACTGAGAAATGCGTTCCCTGTCACGTCTTATTGCTTAATTATGGCTCTATTTTAGCCTCCTAGAGTCATTTGGCTTGGAACAACCTCTCTTCTATGTGATCTTGGAACATACATTCATGTTGAGTTATCCTTGAGTTCACTCGGGTCTGTTCCACTTCCACCTTGCTCTGGCTTGGGCAGTAATTACTGCTCTTTGATTCGGCAACACCTGCAGGTACTATAATGAGCTCTTATCTTTATGCTACTCTCCATGTAGGACACCATCAACCCTCTGTCGGAAAGGCATGCACTTCCTTTTTCCAATACTTGGGGTTTTTTTGCACTGATGAATCCCAGTGGTGCCCTCTTTTAAATCATGCAAAAACTTCCTGTTTTCTCAGCACTCTTACTGTGGTGGTGACTATAGTATTTTTTGAACTCAGAATGTGTACATGTTGCGTACCAGAGGCTTTTTGTTGTTTTAGCTGGGCGTGTGTTGCCCCTTATTGCTGAAGGCAAACTGAAAGATAGGGCAAGCCCTAGATACAGTCATAGATTGTTGGGGGGGGGGGGTGGAAAGTGTACAGAATATTTAAAATTAGAAGTGTTCTAAAAATTTGGGACTTCCAGAGGATGCAACCATGTTGTTGTGCTCCAACCGGTCATCTTGTCTCCTATCAAGAAGATATGTTCTGTATCAGCCTTTGAGTGTACATCTTGGTCCTTCAGGTAGATGATAAGCTTAAGGACAAAAGGGGCAGATCATACACCTGTCACATGGCTCTGTCCATGTATGTCGCTACATACAGTGGTTTGATCAACTGCATAAAGAGACAATGTTGCATTTTCAAGACAGCTGTTTGGGATTAGGAGCTTGCAAAAGTAGCTGACATTAAGGTAAAGGCAGATGGAGAATAGCGTCCTGCGTCGTCCCTCCAGAGAGTAGTTCAAGTCAGGCCTGGGGCAGATCTACGTTAAGAGGGGGTATAATTACCCTGGTCCAGAGTGGCCCCAGGACTTGTCTGGCAGACTGAGTTATATCTATCAGGGCCTTTTAAAATGCTGACTTGGCTCCTTAGAAATACAAAACCCAAAACATCATTTATAAAGGTCACTAGGAATGACCTGGGTCAGAATAAGTTGAGTCCGTTTTGTGCCAATGTTTCAGAAGAGGAAGTTGCTGAATACTTAGATAAAGCTCCTTGAGAGTACTGTGTTGCTAAATCCAAACAAAGAATGAGAGACGTTTACAGCTGAGTTTTTACTCTATAATTCAAACGCCAATCTAGCAATAATGTATGTTCTAGAAATTCCAATCAGAGATTTCTATCATCTGACTTGGAAACCAGCTGTGCTCTCAATGAGTACAAAGATTTACCACCCGCAAGTGCTGTAATTCAGCAGAATTATGCAGAGGTGAAAAGCATGAAAAACTCTCACTGTATTTTAAATGCAATGAGAACTGTGCTTTAAGAAATTCTCCGAAAACTATAAAAATGGTTCTGTTTTAAGAAAGTAGTAGGAATCAAGGTATCAGAACTCTTAAATGCAGGAATACAAGTTTACCCTTCAGAGTATGGTTTTTTAAGACAATGAGTGGATATTACTGCCACTGGTTATCTTTCAAACAGAACAAGTGAGAGAACACAAAGTAGTTAACTCCTAAATTACACATCACCTTACTAAGAGCCCTGATAACCTTATGCTCCAACGATTTGAGAAGCAGAAGCAAGAGAAAAGGAGTTTAACAACGAAGAGGGACAGCTCTACAAAGTGCTCCAATAAACGCAGGGCAGTAATTTTGAACCAGTAAGTTCCTTCACAGAAAGTAACAATTATGTGTGGATTTATGAATCCTTGTGCCAAAAGTCTTTCGAATATGTTTTAAGATTTTTAAAAGATACCAGCGCTACCCTGGCAAAGCCAGTGCATATGGGCCTCATACCAAAGAGCTCCCCTTTCTTCATCTGCGCTTACTCCTCCCACACATGGAATACAGTTGCCTTGTGCAAAACTGATGCAATAGAACTTTGTCACTTATATCATCACCTGAGCACTCGGATACCACCCTGGGAAAGCCAAGCAAAGCAAGTTTTTCCAAAATAATGGTATCAGCGGACCATTTATAGACATATTTGAGAGCATTTCACAAGCACAAACACAATCCCTGAATGGGTTATAAAACAAAAATTTCAAGTGGAGGGATGCAGTGAACTTTACGGCCTGATACGTGTTTAAGAGATAGACCAAGAGTTTTAGACCAGCGACGTTCCTAGCACTTTACATTTACGCCAACATGCCCTCCGTGAGCTCGCCGGCCCTCAAATCCCTCCTCTGTAAGGTAAGATGGCAAAATCAGATGATCTCTGAGGTCGCTTCTAATTCCTTTATTTCATGGTTCTTCTTTCTCCATCTACCTTATAAATACTCTGACTGAGAAGTAGATTGTAGATCCCTGTATGTAGCTGATCTTCGAACTGCATCCACTGATGAATTCCCTTAGCAGACGCTCACACAAAAGCAGATGACTGCATCTACCACAGGGAGACTCAGGCACATGACCACCACGGAGCGTGTAAGAACATGTACAAAAGCGCTTGAGGCTCTTTTAAGAGTAAACAAAAGACCACATTATAGATGTATCAGACTCGTTTATTACTTAGAAAAATAAGAGTATATTGGACAATGATGCTTTCAGTTTTTATGACTATCATTCATAAATAAAACACAACTATAATGCCTCTGTTTAGATAAGTCAGTAATGGAAAGCTATAATTTTAACTCAAATTACATAATATAAAAATACACAGCTCATCCACACTGCTAGGATACCCTCAAACAAACTCATTTAAAAATAGAATGTCCCCAACTTTTTCAGCATTACTATAAATACAATATTACATTTGTCCTTATTCTCTTTTATAACAGTTCTTTTTTCAAGACTTAAAATGTAGTATTTGTATTTTTTGGAATTTTTGATAAATAGATCACGATTTAATTTGAATTCACAGATTTTGTGACAAACCAACAGTATTTATTTACACATTCACATACAGCACAACACGGTGGCCAAGTATTAATGACAATAATTAACAAACTATTAAAACATTAAGAAAATCATCATTTTAACAATGTAAATGTTTTATGATAATTTATATCCAACACACATTTACTAATAACTTCAGAAAGTGTATCAGTTTTTTTGATAGGTTTCCTGTATTTTCACCCTCTCTGTAGAAATGTTTTCACTGTCTAGATTTAATTGATGTGCTGATTAAAGACATGTATTAACAGTAAAGTTACATGTATTAGTGTTATATTTGTGTGTATCAAGTAATCAAAACTTAGGGTGTGAATTAAAGCCATTTAGAAGGCAAACTGAAGACAAAAATAACTACTTAAGTGTCTTTCGTAAAGTGTATCTCCCAAGTTGTGTTTTGCAGCTCTAGTTATGATCCAATAAACAATTCAACATGCTACTTTTTTTTCTCCTTCTGCCTCTTTTTCACATGTTAATTTTGGTGTCTCTTTACTGACTACACAAAATAGGACTCTCATCATCAACACCTCTCCTAGGAGAAGTCAAACGAGTTCGGTGAGGTGCTGAGTATTATTTTCCCTTTTACTTTTCCATATTCACCTGGTCCAACACCACTCTTAACCATGTAGTTTTTCTTCTGTCTTTTGAGGTCGTCTGTTTTCCCCCAGTTATCAGGGTACACCAAGGGAACTAGCCGTGGATCAAGGTGAGCTGTGCGCCTCCGTATAAAATTATCATCACGTGAGGGTTTAGAATGTCAAACATGTTCTACTAAAACTAACCAGGGATTCAAAAATTAACACCGTTTTAAAGACGCACTTATCCGAGCTCACGGCATGATCTCCGGCAGAAGTGCGCACTACTGAACCCTATACTAGCCCCGTGAACAAACGCCGGCCCTTCATGTGGTCAGAGCAGCTGAAATGGCCTTTACAGGAGTTTTAATTTCTTGATTTTGGCCTGGATTTTGAAGGGGAATGCTGCTGGGATTTTCACACTGTTCATCTATCTTTAGGGAAGCGGCGTGTTCTTGGTGATTTTTGCTCTCTTCGGCAAATCCTAATGTCACACTCTTCCCAGAAGGCTGGAACAGCCTCTCCAAGTGAGGCTCCTGTTTCCCTGCTCCGGTTCCTTGCTCATGCAGCAATCTCTCCACCTCCACCTCGAGCTCCAGAGTCTCCTCATCAGCTCGTACATCCAGCTGCTGCATCAACTCTTCCAACTTCTTAGCCTTGCGGAGCTCATTCTGCTGTATGATCGTACAGAGGTGCTCAGTGAGTCGCTCTTTGGTCTCAGTCTTGCGCTGTAGCTCCAGCTTCGCCGCGACATACTCTGCTTCAGCCCTGTCATAGCGCTTCCTGTAGGGACAGGTACAAAGATCGGTCCGTTGGTTTTCCACTTAAGAAGATATTCAAAGGAGGGCCTAGAAACAATAATTAAACTCCAGAATTGGGAAAAAAATAAAGAAGTATAATGCAGATATGGATACTCATATTTTATGTACACTTGTCCTACATGTCAGACAAACCAGGCTGGTGATGCTGAAACTTTTACAACATCCACATTTGGACCCTCCTAACGTAAGGACATTCTTCCGCACTCATTTCCTCTTCCCGAAGCTGAGCTTGGATGAAAGCAGGCTGAGAGGTTCATCAGTGGTGAGCTCGCTCTGGTCGGGCAGAGGCCTGATTTGTGGCGTTTCTCAATTTCTGTATTAGAACTATCACCACCATGGCCAATTTCAGGCTGTTAATGTGACATCACTGATTGCAGAACTGGAAAGAGAGACACAAAATCTGCCCTCATGAACCAGTGTAACCTAGCTCCAGCACACAACTGGTCAAAATGTATGAGAGGCCAAACAAAATAAGAGAAGAAAATCTGTATCTCTTAACAGATAAGAGAAGGAAGAAGAATCTTGGTGGAGAAGGATACAGACAGTGGCTACAAGGTGAATGTAAATGATACTAGGGAGGCAAGAAGCAAGCATCAAGTAGAACAGAAACATTTCTGAGAGGTTTAGGATGGGTTTCTCAATGCTGGCACTACTGACCACTTGGACGTCTCATTCTCTGTTCTAGGGAGCAGTCCTGTGCATGGTAGGATGCACAGCAGCATCACGGGCTTTCTCCCATCCGCTGGTAGCACACAATACTTGTAATAACCAAAAAGGTCTCCAGATACTACCAAAAATCTCCTCAGGGGCAAAAACTGCCCCCCATTGAGAATCCCTGGGTTAAGCTGTCCCCTCTCCATTCTGCAACAACAGACTACTGTTAGACTTTGTTTTTGTTTAGGGCATTTTTCTATTTACACACACGCACACACACTCATTCCAAAGATAGGCAACACCAGTCTTAGAAGTAAGGTAATTCTACTGGGGAAGTCACCCTGTAATGTCTCTTTTTTTTCCTTTGTATTAGGTTGACACAAAAAGAAAAACTATCATATGTCAGTTTACTGTCTTTTACCTTTTCTTTCTTACTTTTTGGTCAGGAAAAGAGATGGGCCCACATTTATCAACTAATTGTTCAGTTTAATAACCACTAACAGTTGTGAAAGTCATGGTGCCTTACCTGTTATGACTGCCTACATCAACTCAATGTAGTAAGTACTTTCTGGCACTACAGTTACAGCAAAACAGAAACAGTTGTATCTCCTAACGCAAGATTCTCTGTCTTGAAAAAGAATACAGTGAAAAAATGAAAGGCTCTGATTTTTAGAAAAGCTATGGTTCAAAACCTGCCTTTGCCATTTTCTGTGTATGTACCTGTTTTGGTCAAGGCCTTTTCTGGATGTAAAGAACAGATATCCAGTCAAACTAGCTCAGGTGAAAAGTGGGTTTTATTGTAGGATACAAGAGGCCATCTCACAAGCATGTCATCAGAATCAAAAACTATTCTCTTTAATGCTCAGAAACCACAGTTTCTCTCATTTTGGCTTTCCAATCGTACACCCAGCCCAATATGGCCACCAGCTGTGGCTCTGCATCACATGCACTCCACTCAGTTTCTCGTGCTCCAGTTCCGGTGGGGGGAGGCTGGGGGAGGGAGGGAACTAGGCTGGCTGAGCGTGGCACAACAGTTCGGACAGAGCTCCCAGCGTCCAGCCAGGCCACCGACTCCTATTCAGCCTCTGGACGGAATGTTCTTGAGTCGGTGGCCCATCCTTGTTTTAATCAGGTGTGGCCTAGGGTCAGCACCACGAGTATAAAACATACCTAGTTCCTAAGGAAGAGGCTGGAGAATATAAATGCAACGTCTGAAAATTCTAGTACAGCGATCCTTGGTAGTAAGTTCATCTGAGTTTTGGTTTATTTGTAAAATGGCAATGATATTATTACTTCATAGGAGCATTAAGATTAAGCAGTATAAACAGGGAAAGTGTCTTACCCAGTGCCTGGTAGGCACTCAAGAAACAGAACTTCAGAGCACCAGAATCCAAAAGCATTATCACTAAACATGTAGTGTATCTCAAGCTAAAATTAGGCAAAGTTTCAGGACTCAGTGTTTATATTTGAAAACTGTTATTTACATAATGTTCATTTACCATTTTTTTTTTTTACCGTCACCTAGTAACTCTAAGAATGAGAAAACTAGCTGTTTTTCAATTACCCTCTATGATAGAAGTATTGTTCCAAAGGAGCCTCGTTGGACATGTGAATCCCTCATTTTCAAACTTTGTAACATGTCCTGTTTATGAATGTTCTTGCATCAAGTTTAAGAGCTCTGACAATATCTCCACAGGTATATGAATACTTTGCCCCTTCCCCCAACTCAAACCTCCTTTCTGTGGTCTGGGGTCTCCCTCAGCCAGCCAGAGTCAGCTAGTAAAGATTTACTGACTGGGCTCATGAATGCTGAATTGAAATTAAATTTGCAAATAGGCCCCTAGGTTTCCATTGATCTTTCACCCTGGATAAATCACTGAAGATTTTGCATTTTGTTTATTTGCTTAAAGTTCTTCTGGCCAGAAACATGCATATATATTCGTGCACAGAGTGATTTATGTTTGAAATACTGATTAATTTCACAAACTGCACTGGAAGCCGGAGGGTCGGGTGGATAATACCAACTCAGTATGATGACATTTTGAGCAGAATAGTAAGAGCATTATATGTAACGCAGTAAAATAAATTGAACTGGAAATGTAATTACAGAATTGTTTTGTTATTTTAAAGGGACATCGAGTGATTTAATGAATGTTATTTAAAGGATTCTAGAATCTGTCTCTTGGTTTTGGCATCCTGATATTTTTTAAGAACTCAAGCATTAACCCTTGGCATGCTGTTTGGTTCCACTGGTCCACTTTTCGTTTTCTTGCTCCTTTTCCAAGCAGTTCTATTTGTAAGGATCAACATATCAAGGTTCTTATACTAAGAAAGGACAGAATAAAACGACATTTTGCAATTACTGTATGGGCCCACTGGGTCCTTTTATACATCTGAGATACACTGTAGGACTGTTGAGATAGGACATATTGTTTTTATATCTCGAACTATTTTGCCATTTTATCACCCTGGGAATTATTTCCTTATTACTCATCAATTATTCCCATTTATGCAGAAAAACATTAATAAGAAAAATGACCTAAAGGATGATGCCCCAGTGAAAATAAATAATCATTGTTTAGTTTCCTTATTGTTTTGTTCAAAGTATTACATTATCTTTCAAAAAGATCTAAAAAAAAAAAACTAGAAACACCATATCTGTAATCTATTTTCAGCTTTCACTTAACACACTTCAGAATTAGTATTTTTCATTTTCTGCCCACAGTGACAAAGTAGAGAAAGTTGACAGATGAAGACATTTCGCAGCTATTAGACAAATCAAAAGACAAATGTTGTGGTAGGTTAAAAACACGGCCACCCACAGATACTTACTTCCTAATCCCCAGAATCTGTGACTATCATCTTACATCGTAAAAGATGTGATTTAGTTGAAGATTCTGAAAGGCGTTTATTTTGAACCATCCAGCTGCACCCTAAATACAGTCACATGTATCCTTTTAAGAAAGAGGCAGAGGAAGTTTTGAGAGAGAAGAGGAGGAAGCAATGTGACTATAGAAGCACAGAACTTGGTGCAGCCACAAGCCAAGGAGCACCCGCAGCTCCCACGGACTGGGAGAGGCAAGGAATGGATTCTGCCCTGAAGTCTCTGAAGAAGACCGACCCTGCCAACGCCCGGATTTCAAACTTCTGGCTTCCAGAAATATAAGAGAATAAATTTCTGTTGTTTTAAATCACCCAGTTTGTGGTAATTTGTTACAGCAACCTCGGAACCTAGTATCAAGGCCGAAACAGCAGTCTAGGTTCTAGACGGTGAAACCAATCCCATTCGGTGAAATCTCAAGAGTAGGAGACTTGAGAAAAACATGTCCTAGACGAACTTTCTCAAGCTCAGAGTCAATGAACAAAAAACGTATTTCTGAGGATAAAAAGGAAACACTATTCTCTTGGACTTAATAATTCCAACAGAAAGAACTCGATCACACAGTATTTTAAGTACTTGGACCGTGTTGTGTTGTGGAAGGATGTAACTGCATTCTTTCAGCTTTTCATGATGTTGGGAGACAAACGTTACTTGACACAAAGAGGTCTGCTATGCTTACATTCTTATTAAAATTGTTAATAGAGCAGTTTTCCACAATCCCTATTATTTTTACTTCTATAAATTATACGTAAAACATTTATGTATATATGTGTTATGTGTATGCACGTGTATGTGTATATGTTATTGGAGCATCTATTAAACATAGATAGCAAACACCGATTATAGTATTTCCTGGTCCACGAAGGGTCGAAGAAGTGTTCTACACACAGCCACTCTGTTTCACAAGCTGGTCTAATGCAGCATATGGCAGCCTGGTAATCACAGATGGGAACAGAAGCAATAATTCTCTCAATTTGCTTCACTCAAAGTGTTGGTCTCCTAAAAGGGATCTATTCTAACAATACCCTACAGAAACTAATTTTAAAGCAAAGTCTGGACTATTCATTATCTAAGAACCTTTTGTGGACACTGCACTGTACTAAAAAAATATAATAATATTTTTATTTAAAAAGAAAAAAACACAAGATCTCCAATAGAAACTGGCTGCCCTGGGGATTAGCTACCAGTAGAAATCTAAACCACAATACTGTATCACCAACCTCTAATTTCTCAATAACCACAGATATAAATTTAGAAAACGTTTTAATCTTATGAGTGAACCAGATACAACACTGGTCCTAATCACAATTGTCTATGGCTTCTCTTTGATTTCTCTCAACACCTTAGCTTTTTAAAAACAGCCTCACACATACAGTACGGATATTCACATACAACTATGTCAGTATCAGTGCCAAGAGAAATGGCCATCTTTGTTAAAAGATGTAAAATTTTATCTAAAATTTTTTACTATGTAAAAACTTACTAAAATTTCATTAATCACATTTATATATTATGGGATGTCTTCTTCTTTAACCAGTAATCCAACCTTCTTTGTGTTCTCTAAAGACTAAAACTGACATTTCTTATATTATGTTCAGTACACAAACGTACCCTTCTCCAGCTCCTCTACCACAGAATTAAAATATAATGACATGATTTTCTGTAAAGGTATCCATAATAATCTGAATTATTCATATAAAGGGCTACAAAGGCCTAAGAATGTTCCTCTGCTAAACCTAAATTACAGAGAATAAAATACACTGAAAATCCAGGATTAGTTTTATCCTAATAAAATCTTGGTTACCTCCTTTATGACCTTATTAATAGAAATCTGGAACCTCCAGTTATCAGCTACTGATGACATTAAGTTAAGCAGTTAATTAATACAGGCAACCCATTAAGCCTAATAACATATGGTCAAACAACAATTACGAAAATCACAAGGACACCACAAACCTCTTTCTTAATAAACCCTGAGTTAAAAACCACAATCAAACATTTCTGCTTTATTAAACTGTTAAATAAACATTCTGATGCTGTGGTTTACCCTGGACTAATGAGGCATTCTGATTGATTTCTAGTGTTACAGAGAGAGATGCAAAACTGAGTCATTAACATGGCATTCCCTTGTGAAAAAAGACAATTCAGGATGATTAAAGCAATGCTGAAAGGACTGAAAACCCTGAAACTGGACCTAATTTTTTGCCCTTTTTTCTGCTTGCAAAGTTCATGTAATCCTTTACATGTGTTAGTTCATTTTAAAAATTCTCCATGATGAATTTTTCACTAAAAAATGCCAATGGTTGAAACCAAGAAAACACATGATAGCAAACTATTGTATCAGAATACAATCAAAAAGAAAAACAAAAAGAGGAAAATCTTCAAGCTTTCAAGACAGAGTGGTATTTTCTTTAAAATACTCATAGGCTTTTTTAAAAAAAAAAAAAAAAGCTAGATTTTCTTTCTTTGATGAAAACTGAAGTGAGAATTAGGCTAATCTCTAAGGACCATCTCAGGTAACCAAAATTTCTTAATAGAAAGAGTACAGAGTTGATGTTAGAACAACAGAATTTGGGGACAAGTCATTTAGACACTTAGATTCCCAAACATTACATAGCTGATGGTTTAGCAAGAAAGACTAAAATGTAAATAAATAATGCAAGAGATGCTCTAACAGGAATATGAACTAGGGTGGGACAAATTTAAGGAAGACTTCAAGAAGAAGAGATGCTGCATTTAGTACAAAACAGGAAGAGAGCACCTAATGGTACTGTTATGAGGCTTCAGTGACAACATACCTGAGAGCTCCTGGCTCTGCTGGCAATAAACACTGATTTGCACTGACTGCCGGGTCAGAGTTCTCTCAACTCACCGCGCACAGGAATAATCGAGGCTGGCCTGATCGATCCGGTTTCTGAGGATTCCAATGTCAGCTGACACCATGTCATCTAGTGCCTGTAACTCCTTTTGAATCCGCTTTAGTTTCAAGGTCTCTGCTTGAGTTCTTTTAGATCTAGAAAAATGAATAGAAAAATAAAAACATTTAAAAATCATGTATCTATACACAATATTAAGTGAAAAAAGCAACCTACTGTATATATAATATGACTTTAATGTATAATTTTTAAAAATTAGGAAAAAAAACCAGCACAAATTGAAATAAAACAAATGCTGGCAACATTCTGGTTTATCTCTAAGACCGCATTTGTGCTGTTTTCCCTTATTATTCCAATACACAAAGGAAAACGTAAGATTTAAAAAAAGAAACAAACGAATAGTTCACTTATAGGTCTATGTTTATTCCATGAGGATGAGAATAAACATTGAAAGAATGTATCTGTATTCTCTTTACATGGAACATCCAACAAAGCTTTCTAAATTTCTAGCCTTAAATTCTTGCTAAGCCCATTTTCATGTGTTTGATACTTAGTGGACAAAGAACCGATGCCTGTATTAAATACCATTTCTTTATATTTTTTGGTTTTAACCTTTTTAGGACCCATTTCCTCCAAAGTTTTATTACTTTAATTTTTGCTTTTTCGGAAATACTATAGTTCCTCAAAATTCCTTCTGGGGCTCAAAACCAAATACTCTTTTTTTCCCCTTTGTTTAAAAGCACATTCAACTTCAGTGCCCTCGCTACCCCCCAAACACACTGAAGAAACAGAATACAAAAGCCAACCTTCAATCTGATTTCACTTATTTCAAAGTTTCATGCCCATTCTCACAGAATAAAACTCCCCCAGAAAACCATTATATTGCCCCTTATAATCTCCTGATTTCTACTCCATTATGCATTTTCACTTGTTTTCTGCCTACAAAAGTTAACAGTAAGTACTTCACTGGTACATTTATTAATAATCTAATCAGGTTATGTTTCCTTACATTTCTGCCTGTATCAATACTTTTTGTCTTCAACCAAATGAAAATAAAGAACAAGTGTTGAGCCTATAAATCTTTTTGTAAAATCCCTAGTGAACAGCTTCCCCAACCACTTCCAAACTGAAGACTAGTAACTGAAGTGATTTCTAAAATCACTTTTCACTTTCAATAATCATGTTGTTTTTTTTCTTGAGATGTAAGTTCAGTTAGTTGCATATTTCCTATGTTTCATGAAAGATCAAGGGGGATCAACTGAAGAAAAAAAATCATTTTCAAATACGTATATCCCTGACAGACAAAATTCTGAATGACTCATATACCTACCTGCCCTTCTCTCTAGCCCTGTCCCTTCCCCTCCCCCAACATATATACCAGCTTCAATAACCAACAGTTTTGCCAGGTTTTTCTGGAGATCTGAAAAGAAAATGCCAACAATATCACTTGCATTTCATTCTTACTATTCTCAACCATTTTTTCATTGACTAAGTTCGGTTTCCTAAGGCCACAGCACACTGGAAATTACAAACTAAAAGGGCAGAAAGATTGGGTGAGAGAGGTGGAAAGTGGCTCAAATGGGAATGTTGCTGTTGGAGGCTAGCACAATGTAGTAAAGGAAAAACAAACCGACACTGGGAGGTGACAGAAAAATCGAAGTGCATGTTCATAGCGCAGAGTGCTCACAATGGTGACCTTGAATCACTGATGAAACGCTGTATCGTGTATTAGCGAGGGCAGGTAAATTATTCAAGAAAAATGTCCATAGAAAACACATTTAAAATTTCTGGGAGTGGAAGTCACTTATGTGGAATAAACAATCTTACTCTTTTACACGTCGCATGACTAAAACCTCCCCACATCAAAATTAAAACCTGCATTTGTTGCTAATACACTTATCCTGATGGCTATTCACCATTTCCTTAGGATGTGTAGATGGTTAAAACGGAAAACACTGATGTCGATTCTGAAGTTCTAACTGCATCTTTATTCACAAATTCGGTGTAATTTAGGCTTACAAAGTCCTCCTTAATAAATGAACGCTGGAATTTCAGTATCATTTATAAAAGATAATTTGTATAGTTTTAAAAGTAACACTGTAGAGGGCTGCCTGGCTGGCTCAGTCAGTAGAGTATGTGACTCCTGATCTCGGGGTTGTTGAGGTCAAGCCCCATACTGGGCATGGAACCTACTTTACAAAAAACAATTAAAAAGGAATGTTGTAGAGAAAATGTCAATTTATCAAAAGAGACAAGGGAAAACAAATACAGAACATGACAGAACCGATCCCAGGTTACTAACAACCTCTTCTAGTTCAGGTGCCTCACCTTTCTGCAATAGCTTTAGCCAAAAGAGCTTTCTTACGTTTATTTTTCTCTTCCATTAGCCGTTGTTCCTCCTGGAGGACTTCCCAACGAGACTTTTCTTGCCTAGGGAACAAAAAATTTAGAAAAATTAGTTTCTGAAACCCCATCCTACACCTTACCAGGTTTAGCCCCCCTTTGTATAAAATTTAATCAACCAGATTATGTATATTTTCTTTCAAAAACCCTCTTAAAAGGAACCCATCTGCAGCTCGTTATTTTGTTCTAATAGGAACCAAGATTATGATTTGAAGTCAAGAAGGCTTACATAAACTAGACCTTTGAAATCCATTATATGTATATAATCTAGGAAGCCACAAACTGGAAGCCAGAGTACTATGGCATTTCTTAGGAGAACAAAAAAAGTTGTATAAGTTAATTATGTATTATATGCAAAATGGAGAGCAAAATAAATTGGCATGTAGCTAATATCATGTTTTATCTTTTAGAGTTTCTATACTGAAAGTCTCTACCACTTAACACTCTCAGGATAATAAACAACATTTATTTCATTTTTTTTTTTTTTTTTAATTTGCTTACTTCCAGCTCTCAAACATTTTTAAACAGAGTAAAACACCATGAGCTAAGATTTGAATGCTGGGCTACCAAGAAACTTCAAAGATCTGAAAACAGCCTTCCATCTGTTCAATTCTGAGAGACTTAGATTAAAATTTCTCATAAATTCGACAACGTGATATCAACTCAAACAAGGTCACAATCAAGCTATTCATTCCTTTTATTGTCATTTCTTATGGCCATCATTATCAAAATTCTCTAGTCCCAGACCTAGTAACCAGTTCCATATTTATCACTTTTTTTCCCGTTCCCACCGCCTCCACCCTGGAGCTGGCACTGGTCCACTCTCATTTTCACGACTGCAGGCATCTTCTCACCCAGTGCTGGAGTTCCAGTTCAGCCAGCGCCCTCCCCTGAATAAGCCACTATGCTGACACCTCCATTTTCTCTAACCTCTGTTTTGATCAGGGTATCTCTCCCTGGAGGCCTTCGTGATACACGACTGTATCAGGGAGCTCAAAAGACAGGAAGCCTCAGCTTCCACATCCTTCTTCACCTCCTTCATTCTCTACTATTCTCTGGCCTCACTTCTGCCTCTTCCAGAGATGTGAGATGCCATCTCTGAACATTCTTTCCTTTCCCTTTCTTATAGGCTCAGAATTCCTCCTTTTCAACAACAGTCCCCCAAATTGCATGTCTTCTATGAAAATTTTCCCAAGTACCTAAAAATTCTTTTTCCTAACAACATTCTAAACTGTCCAGCTCAATTTAAACCCACCCTCCCCTACTTGTCTCAGGTCTGTGCAGATAAACTACATTTAAAGACATTTAAATGTATGCACTTGTTCAATGTTGTTTTCAGAATTCATGTGGCTTTGTATCTCTTGTAAAAATGATCTCTGGGTTGTGAACTCATAGCACAGAATCTGGATCAGAGAAATCCTAAGATACTGTGAGACTCAGAAAATGCAAAACAGAAACAAATGCCACCCTGATAAACCAGGAAGAAACAAACATGAGTGGGTATTAAAACATTAGCTATAGGATAAATATTTTGAGAATTCACAAAGTGATAGAATGGCAATTTCCATAAAGAATGTCTCTAAACTAAATTCTGGAGGTTGGGGCGCCTGGTGGCTCAGTGGGTTAAGCTGCTGCCTTCGGCTCGGGTCATGATCTCAGGGTCCTGGGATCGAGCCCTGCATCGGGCTCTCTGCTCAGTGGGGAACCTGCTTCCTCCTCTCTCTCTCTCTCTCTCTGCCTGCCTCTCCGTCTACTTGTGATCTCTCTCTGTCAAATAAATAAATAAAATCTTTAAAAAAAAATTCTGGAGGTAGTTTCTAATAAAAGCACCCTGAACAAAGAATAAAAAGAAATCTAATGATGGAGTTGAATTGTTTTATTAGTCCTCTCCATTTCAACTTTCCTTTGACCATCCCTTCGTATCTCTTCACAAATGGATCCAGAAAGACCTATGTGTGAACCCCAACTCTGCTACTCACTAGCTATGTATTTGCTTTGCGAATAAAGTTATCTTTTCTGAGTCCAAGATATCTATGGAGTGAAAATCATGCACAGGTACTGTAAGCTGCTACCAAGACGAAGTGACATAACATGTATGGCCCAACACTGACGGGCTTATGATACATTTAGGGGTAGGATTCTTTAACAGGTTATGCATTATACTTCTAGGTTAGAACATAAAGGAGAAAATGTTAAAACTATTATTTCTTCAAAGCCTAACTGAGGAAAAAAAAGTAAAATGGAAAAAAGTCTCACGGATATATAGACTTACTAACAATTCCACTTTCTTTTTTTCCATTTTGCAATCTGGCTTTGGGGGCAGAACCTCGGCGTTTTTGTGACTATCATGGGAATTCTCAAGTCCCAGTTCCCTTGGTGGACTTTCAGTCCCCTGTGGTTTTCCATCACCGACAGGAGAGGCAAGTGTAAGAGGACCAGGAGGAACCCGGAGAGAAGACTGTGGTTCTGGACTATTAAAGCTTGGTTTTGGTGCAGAAAGCAGCTGCTCTGGAGGTACTGAGCTTGATCCATCTTGAAGTCCAAGTTTTTGGCTTTGCTCTTGAAGAGCTTTTTCCCGCTGAAGTTGTTGTCGACTTTTCTTCACAGGGAGACGTCGCTGTGGTTCAAATGGATCTGTGTGAAAAAGAGAATGGAGAAAAATTCCCTTGTGTGAGCAGCAAATAGTCAGAATTTCTTTTAGAAAATAAAGGATTAACATTAAACTTTGATGATAATTCTACAGGGCTTCTCCCTTCTTCCCTACCACAAAAGCCCAGGGAAAAACAGCCACCTTCCCATGGCATTTTAACAGTTCTCCAATCACACTGTTAATATTTAAAAAAAAAACTGTCCCAACTCAAAATTTACCTTAAAAGAAGTCCATTTGTCTGCTGAGTTAGGCCTCAGAATAAAAATACAAGGTTTCTTTATCAACTTGAATTGAGAACTCCTCAAGAATCAACTAATTTGACCAAACAAGGTAGACAAATGAATCCTTGATTGGTCTTAAATTTGATTTATGATTTTATCTGCTCTCCTGAACTAAAACGGTGGCTGCATTTACAGACAGGCTACGCCTTTAACTAACAGCAGATCTTAGGCCAATCTGATACACAGGTAGATGCTATGCACGAAGTATAACCGAATGAAATCTCTTATTTCCAAGAATGCTAGTTAACCCTCAATTGTTAGCTTTCCTCTTTCAGAGCAGAGCAAGGTTGTGTTCCCCAAAGTCAGTTAGCCATTAATCAATATATGCAAACTAATTTTAATAGCAGCCTAATCAAACCAATAGAGGAAGATAAAACAACTGGGAGGAATATTTTTTTTAAAAAGCACTATAAAATAAATAATACCTCACTATACTTTTTGGGTTATCCATGCCAGTGTTAACCTTTTAAGACAGAGTATGGGAGAATTTACTCACTATCACACTGTATTTAATAAGATCTGTAAATGGTACTATTTACAAAATACCTGGGAAAAGAAACTGTGGTGAAGTCCCTGTGAATGAACTCAAATAGAGCTTTTAAAATTCTGTACATTGACCTCTGAAGCAACACAAGCCTAGTATTTAAATCTTCCAAAGGAGAATTAAAAGCTCTAGAGTCACAGTTCCAGCTTTTGTCCAGCTCAATAATCTTAAGCAAGTCAATTAATTATTCCACACCTCAGTTTCTTCATATGTCAAAGGGGATGAAAATTTACCTGCTCTACTTAACTCATGGAGTTGGTGTAAGGATTAAATGAGACAGGTAAAGAAAATATCTTTAAAAGATACATGTACCATCAAAAGTAAAATGTTATTACTGTTCGCTTTTGCCAGAAACACAAAGTAGCCCCCTCTATTCTGGGACAGAAACTTATTCTCAACCACCGGTCTTTAGCCGCACCATCAGCAAATGCCACTGAGCCTGTTTACTTCCCAGTTACGCTCACGAGGCTGAATTAACAGTCCCTACGAAATTCAGTCCTGCAGCTCCCATTCTATTTTGCATTTTCACAGAACCTGCGTATGAGATTAAAACTGCTACAATAATCAAGTAACAAATAATAAATCAAACAATAAACTAGGCCACTTAAAAACAGAACATATGATATAAAAACACCTGGAACTAATAAGCCGTTATAAAAGGTTGCAGAATGCAAGATTAATATACAAAAGTCAAATGCTTTCCTATGTACCAACAATGAACAAGTAGAATTTGAAATTAAAACACGATGCCATTTGCATTAACACTAAAAAAATTAATATTTAGAAATAAATCTAAGAAAGTAGAAGATCTATAAAGAAAACTACAAACTCTGGTAAGGAAATCAAAGAGCTAAATGGAGAGATATTCCATACTCATGAACAGAAGATTCAATACCATCAAGATGTCAGTTCATCTCAACTTGATCTACAGATCCACTGCAATCCCAATCAAAATCCCAGCCAAGATATTTTGTGCAAACTGACACAATGACTTTCCAGTTTATATGGAGAGGCACAAGACTCAGAACACCTAGTATAATATTGAAGAACAAAACTGTAGGACTGGCATTACTTGACTTCAAAACCCACTATTAAGCTGCGATAATAAAGACAGTTGGTATTCGTGAATAGACACCAATGGAGTAGGACAGAGAGCACAGGAATAGACAAAATGACTCATGAAATAGAAGAGAGAACCCAGGAAGAGGTTCAGACATGCACGGAGCACTGGTACATGACTGAGATGGCACAGCCTATCAAAAGCAGAAGGTGGACTCATTCAGTAAATGGACTTGAGGAAAAAACTGCTGTAAGCAAAAGATAAAATCAGATCCATACCTCACACCATACAAAAACAAACAAAACATTCCCCAAATGGGTTAAGGGCTTAATGTCAAGTCAACACTTTAAAATTCTTATTAGAAGTACATTTCTTTATGCAGCGTTTTAAATCTGTTGTAGTTTACAATAAAAATGACTGTTAAAAACTCTTAATTGAAAATAAGCATTAATATCTTATGATAGAGTACTATCACCTCATGGTAGGGTACTAAGTTCTTAAGACACAAAAATGTTGACAAATTTCACCATATTAAAATTAAATACTTTGTTCATCAAAAGGTAAAAGTTAAAAGACAAGTTATAAGCTAGGAGGAGATATTCATACTATACCCAGCAAAGATCTAGTGTCAAGAATAAATAACTTATGAATATTTTCTTTAGACATTGACAGCATTGTAGCTGCACTTTTTTATTTCCAGTTTTTTAGTATGAAATAAGTCATACATCAAATACATGTATGTGTTATAGACACATATCCAACCTGGATAGATAATTAAAAACAGTAACATTTACAAATAAAATATGACTATAATAGACATAACTGCTATTTAATGACAGACGTTATCCTCTCTTTTGGAACACACAGATAATTGCACTTATTGGCCTCCAAATCATACTACTTGCTTTTGTTAAATGAAATGTAAGTAGGAGTGACACCTATCATTTACTGACAGAAGCACTGAGTTGCTCATGCTCAATTCTCAACCTTTTTCTCCTCATGCCACGGTGAACCCCTAAATGATAGCACCAAAACACGATGTGAAGTCATTATGTTGGGAAGAGTGACTTGCCTGACCATATCGGACATGAAGCTAGAGAGAAAAATAAACATTTATTATTTTAAACAGTTGATATATTAGGGTTATTTGTTACTGTAGCATAACTTGTCTCAACTTGATTTCATTATTACCAATACTGTTGAAATTCCCGATGTATTTGCCCCTTCCAGATAATATTTCCTTGCCTCTCTAGTATCCTGCACTTTGATGTCCTATGTTCCCAAAGAATATACCTATGTCGCATGATTCTGATCTTCTACAAATGGTATCAGGTTGTTCTTCTGTGACTTGCTCTTTTCATGCATTTTATTTATGAAATTTACACATGTTAATGTTTCTGGGTATACTTCACATATTCACGTAGCTGTACAGCAGCCCACTGGATGTATATTATAATACAATTTACTTATCCCCCCCTTTTTTTAAATGAACACTTGGTTTGTTCCCAGCTCTTTAATACTAAAAGTAAGAATTCTAAGTACAGGGGCGCCTGGGTGGCTCAGTCAGTTAAGCGTCCGCCTTCAGCTCAGGTTGTGATCCCAGGGTCCTGGGATGGAGCCCTGCGTCAATCCTGCTCTGCGACGAGTCTGCTCCCTCTGCCTGCCACTGCCCCTGCTTGTGTGCTCTCTCTCCCTCTCTAACTCAAATAAATAAATAAAATCTTTAAAAAAAAGAACGTTAAGAACATTCTTAATCTTTCCTCATGTGCATATGGGTTTCTCTAGAGTGCTGTCATGCATATTTTTGCTAGCAACCAGCTCCATCTTCATGGATTACTTACTTGTATTTTTAAGGTTGGAGAATAACTGGAAGGAGCCTTAAAAACTTTAAAGTTCAGATCTTCTAGTTTTACAAATGAGAAATCCGAGGTAAAAAGATTTAGAGGTACAGCTAGGAGATCTATATGCCAATCACTGTGTTTGGCTACGGGTGTACAAAAATGCCAAGTAGGGTAGACATAGACTGGTGGTTGGTGACTGCTCTAAGTCTCCCTATGGTACCACGGGCCTAGACACTAACATCCTTCCAGCTCTTCTCTATCCCAAACTGCAGAGATATTTACAAATGTACTTCTACATAATGAATCTACTGTTACAATTTAGTCTATATTAAGTCTTCTTTCCCTTGGCAAACTCACCTCTGCTAACACATAATCTCTGAAATCTTTCCAAGCTCCACCCACCCCCCCCAGCTAACTTTGTAGCAAACTCTTGTTAAGTTTTCTATTACCCATTACATTATCGTTTGTCTCCTCACTAGACTACCCGCTCTTTGAAGGCCGACGCCTGCTTCATCTCCCTCCGTGTAATACAGAAGCTGATACCTCCAACTTCCCGCAGACCAGAAGCACGGACACTTGTACTCTGTACATTCAAGTATGTGAACCGATGTTCCAAACACAGAGCAGAAAGAATATGAGAACATCAAGGTAGGAGTCCACTGTAGTATCCCTTTTATGATACAATTCTTTTTTTTTTTAAGGATTTTATTTATTTATTTGACAGACAGAGATCACAAGTAGGCAGAGAAGCAGGCAGAGAGAGAAGCAGCAGCAGGCTCCCTGCTGAGCAGAGCCTGATGCAGGGCTCGATCCCAGGACCCTGAGATCATGACCTGAGCCGAAGGCAGAGGCTTAACCCACTGAGCCACGCAGGCGCCCCTATGATACAATTCTTGAAGACCTCTGGGCCAGTCCAAAGTTCCTCCACCTATATAATCCACCCTGGCCCTACGTTCCTACTTGACCACTTTCTCCATGTCAGCCTTAGGCTTTTACATCTGTGCTGACAACGCACAGCCTTACCTGAGCAACACCCAATTTGATCACAAACTAACAAAACGCACGCCAGGGTTCGTTTCATTGTCTCCCAAAGCAAAGTCTGTCAATTATGGTACCCAGAGTGCCGGAGCGTGCACCTCCAGGATCACCAGTTTCAGGAAACTTCAGCCACAAACAAAGCATAATTCATACCAAGAGCTTCTCACCCAATAACAGCAAAATCAGCTCCTCCATTAAAAGAAAAGCGAACAAAAAGCACACGTTCCAGCGAGGGAAGCACAGCACTTCAGCTCACAGCGAAGTCAACAGGTACACCCTCCCACGCACCCTCTCAAAAACTCTAGGTGTTCTCGCTCTCGAGAGGCAGAACTACGTGTCATCTGGCGACCAGAAGCGAACCCAAGACTCCAGATGTGCCATGAAAAGCACCGTCTTTTCGCGTCTATGCGGACCCCTGTGCTCCCTCCTGCCCAGCCACTGTCAACTCTGGTAAACTCATCACAGTCTGACGCGGTGCCCCTCCACCTCCTCCCCACCACCCCAGCCCTCCAGCCCTGGTTCACGCCGCTGCCTTCCCACAGGCGACGGCTGGCTGTCGGCGCGCCTCCTCTCCCAAGTCCCACTGCTTCCGCCGGGAAAGTCACGTCCACATCCCCGAGCCGGAATCCCGAAATTCCCCTCCTAAAACAGGATCCCGGTTCCTGGGACTCGCCCCTCCCGCCCCGGCTCCCGACACACGCACCTCGGGAGCCCCCCATCCCCTCCTCCCATCCCAGCTCCTTCCTCAAACACCAACACGTTACCCTCCTCCCCACCCCCTGCCCCTCAAAGCTGCAGCCCCGCCCCTTCCCCTCACTAAACCCGAAGACGAAACCTCCGCCGCCGCGTCGCGTTACCTTTAGCCTGCTTCAGTCGCCTCAGCTCCTCCTCAGAGAAGCCGGCCCAACCCCGCGCCATGCGCCTCGGCTGCCGGCGCCCCCAGAACGCCCAGACCTCGGAGCCCCGACTGCCAACGCGACGGCCCAGGCACATCCGGGTTCTCTCCCAATCAGCGCTCCGCGCTCTGGCGACGAGGCCCCCTTTCGCATGTCGCAGGGCCCGGCTCCGTCCGAGTTGCCTCCAGCGCTGCCGGGCAAACCGCCAGAGGAAATCGCGGCCGCGGAGACATTTCTGTCTTTCACACGAGTCTGCTCTCTCGCGCTGTCTCCTGCCCTCGTCGGGCTAACAGCTTCACGCGGTAAGGGGAGAAATGGCGCTGCGATGAGGGTGGAGACAAACAGGCAGTTCGGAAGGGGCTGCACGTCGGTGGCGGCAAAGCGCGGGCGCAGCCATCTGCCGGGTCCTCTGGGAAGCGCTTGGGGCGGGGCCGTCCCCTTGCTGGGCGGGGCGGGGGGCGGGGCTTTCCGGGCGCGCGGAGGCCGTGCGAGGAAGCGTGTCGAGGGCCTGGGTGGAACAGTGGGAAGGGAGCCGACGCGTGTAGCGGCCCTTCCTGCGGGGCTGGGTCTCCCGAGTGACCCGACGGCCGGTCGTTGCCGCGTCCTGCGAACGGTTCTCGCGTACCTGTACCTTCTCCCCGGGGGACGCCGCAGCCCCTCTCCCTGAACGTGGTCTCGCGTCGGCGTTTGGTTCAGAGACCGTGCGGGGCCGGGTCGGCGCCGGCGTGCGGGGAGACGCCGCGCCTTTCTCTCCCGGGTCCTGCCTTCGTGGTCTGGTTCCGCCTCGAGCCCAGGCCGGCGCCTCCGCTCCCAGGTGGAGCCGGACAGGCGAAGACACGTGCAGACACAGCAGGACGGTCCCGCGGCTCCGTCCTTCGTGTTCTCCTCGGAGACGTCGCCGTAAAGAGAAAAACGGAGAAAACCCCGTCGTTTTGGTTACCTTCCACTCGGCTTCCGTGGGCCAGTGTTCGCCGCAGCTGCGACGAAGCCGAGCGGAAAGTAGGGGCCGCACCTCGGAATCGGGGTGCGTGAGTGAGGCCCGGGCAGGGCCCGACGGAGCCGGCGATCGGACGTCCGCGTGCGGCCTTCGGGCTTCGGACTCAAGAGCGGCTTCTGCAGCGTCCGTGCTGCCCAGCCCCGCGGTCCCCGCGCGGACTCGTGTCCCCACGCCCGAATCCAGGTGCGGTTCGGCCGGGCCGGCGGCGCGCGCTCCCCTCCGGGACGCGGGCTCCGGCTCCGGGACGCGGGCTCCGGCTCCGGGACGCGGACCGAACGTTGTGGCAGGCGGAGCCGTCCGGCCGGTGATCGGTTCCGGTCCCCAACCGTGTGGCGAAAATGAGGCGCCCGCATGCCCCGTGTTAAGTTTATACGAAAACTTTTTTTTAAAGTTCTGGGTGAATTTCAAGAATTTCAATAATCTCACTAGAGAAGGAAATTTCGGTATTTTAAAGGGGTTTTCATCAGCCCCGAACGAGAGCCGACTCGTGAGATGACGGTGGAAACGGCGTCGGTCCAGACGACAGTTCCCAGGCTGCCCCTCGTGGTGACTGGCTTCCTCAGGGGACGCGGTGCCCTGGGGGAGCGTAGCCTCCAAGACCGCCCTCGCTGTGCGGAGGTCCACGCGGTTGTGGGTGGAGGGGCTCTGCAGGCTGGTTTTGCGGGGCGCTGGGACTTCCGTGGCTTTGGGTCAGATTTAGAGTCGTTTTTTTCAGCTTGTGACCTAAAATTGGGTTCTCTCCCCTGCATGGTCACGGCTCGGGTCCCAGAAGGCCGGGTTTGCTCTCGTCCCCTTAGCACGTGGACCGGCCTCTCCAGGCCGGGAGCTTGACTTCGGTGACCTTGTCTTCACACGTGTACAGGAGTCCCAAGCCCGTGCTCCTATGCAGGTAGAGTCCCCCTTGGGTTCGCTTTTTACATCCCTTTCTGCTTTTACGTTCTAGGATATATTTTTTCTTCTTTTTTTTTTTCTTCCCTGAAGATTTATTTAGTGGGAGAGAGAGTGTGGGAGCACGAGTAGGAGGAGTGGAAGACGGAGAGAGGGAGGGACGGGGCAGCCTCCCCGCTGAGCGTGAAACCTGTTGCAGGGCTCGATCCTAGGACCCTGACAGAGATCACGACCTGAGCCAAAATCAAGAGTTGGAGGTTCAACGGACTGAGCCACCTGGGCACCCCTGTATTTTCTTCTTTTTAAATAAGCACATGTTCTAGGTTATTCGGCAGTTTTATGTGTTTATGGCAAAAGGGAATCATCTGTGATGACTTCGATCCTTATATTCCCTCTGGTGGATTCTCTACCAGAACTCCTAGAGATGATCTTTTAAAAAGTGAAAATCTAGTGTGTGTCGTCTGGTTAGAACTGAGAAGTGACTTCCCAGCATACTTTGAATGAAATACCAGTTCCTACGTGAGCCTGTGTGATCTCAGCCCTTCCTACCCCTCTTAAGTGATCATTAGGCGTGTCCTTCCCTTTACTCCACAGTCCCTACACTCCAGTCCAACTGCCTTTCTCTGGAGGTTTGGAACTTGTCAGGCTCTCCCCCTACCGCCCTACACAGGGCTTTCCCAAATGCTGTCCTTTTTGGCCCCAATAATCTTTCCCTTTTCAGTCTGGTTATTTCTGCTTCAGGTTTTGACTTGAATGTGCACTTAGACTTTCAGCAACCCCCTTATCCAAACAGCACCCCTCCAGCTCACCCCCATTTTGTGTTCTTTATTGCTTTAACAGCACTAATTACAACTCAAGTAATTTGCATTGTTTGCTTCCTTGTTTACTTTCTCTTTCCCTCTATTAGGTAATGGCTACATAAGATCAGGGGATGCATCTTTTCTTAAACCAGTGCATAACAGAATGTTTGATGCCTACTGAGCCTTCAAATAAATGTTGAAGGACTAAACCTTTCCATGTACTGAAACATGAAACATTTCCACATTTCATGTATTCTCAGATTCCTTGTTAAGTTTGAATCTCTGTGACGGTGAATAACATTAACCCCATTTAGTATTGCTAGTTGCAGCCATGGACGCATTGGTTAGTAAATAAAAGGCTAAAAATAGAGAAGAGAAAAATCAAGACACTGTTTAATTTTTTTTTTTTTTACAAAATCTTAAAATAGTATTTCAACAATATTCTGCAGTTTTCAGTATACGGATTTTGCACATCTTCTGTCAGATTTATCCCCGAATAGTTAATAGCATGTCCCATTGTAAATAGCACTTTTAATTCAGTATTCAGTTTTTTTGGAGTATCTGCTATATAGAAATAAAATTGATTGATGTTTGTTGTCAACCATGATAAATACACTTATTAGTTATAGCTGCATTTTTAAAGGTAGATTTCATTGGATTTTCTACATGGATGATCATGTCTGCAAATCACAATTTTATTTCTGTCTTTTGAATCTATGTGCCATTTATTTATTTTTCTTGCCTTATTGCCCTGGCCAAGACACACCAGCATAATGTTGAATAGAACTGAGATCGTATACCCTATCTTGTTTCTCATTTTAGGGGAAAAGCATAAAAGTCTTTTACCATTAAATATAGTGTTGTTTTAGGGGTTTTTGGTAGATGCCTTTTATGCTGTTGAAATTCCTTTCTGGTCCCAGTTTGCTAAGAGCTTTTATCAGAATGGATAATGGATTTTCTTGCATGCTTTTTTGGGTCTGTTGAGGTGATAACAGGATTTTTCTTTTTTAGATTATTAACATGGTGAGTTGCAGTGATTGGTCAGTATTACACCAATCTTGCATCCTGTGATCAACTTTATTTAGCCATAATATATTATGCTTTTAATGTATTCTTGGACTTGATTGGCTAAAATTTTGTTTAGAATTTTTGCATATGTTCATGAGGGATACTAGTGTGTAATTGTTTTTGTGATGTCTGCCTTGTTTTGGGATTAAGTTAATACTGATCTCACCAAATGAGGAACCTTTTTTCTTATTTTCAATTTTCTGGAAGACTTACATAGCTTTGATATTAATTCTTCCTTATACACCTGGTAGAATATACCAGTGAATGCATCTGGAGTTTTCTTTGTGGGAAAGTTTTTGACCATCAAATTGAATTTCTTTGATAGATACAGGGCTGTTTAGATTATTTATTCTTGAGTGACTTTTCATGGTTTTTCTTTTAAAGATCTTTTTTTTTAAAGATTTTATTTATTTATTTTACAGAGAGAGAGAGAGAGCACAAGTAGGCAGAGAGGCAGTCAGAGAGAGAGAGAGGAGGAAGCAGGCTCCCCACTGAGCAGAGAGCCTGATGTGGGGCTCAATCCCAGGACCCCAGGATCATGACCTGAGCTGAAGGCAGAGGCTTCAACCCACTGAGCCACCCAGGCGCCCCCATAGTTTTTCTTTTAAGATACTTGTTTCATCTAAGTTGTTGACTGTATTAGCATAAAAATCAGAATTTTTTTTAGATTTTTATTTATTTTTTATTTGAGAGAGAGAATGAGGGAGAAAGAGCAGAAGCAGGGGGAGGGTCAGAGGGAGAAGCTGACTCCCCGCTGAGTAAGAAGCCCAATGCAGGACTTGATCCCAGGACTCCAGGATCGTGACCTGAGCCAAAGGCAGACACTTAACCAGCTGAGCCACCCAGATGCCCCATTGCCTTTGCTGATTTTAATTTGTATCTGTTCACTGTAATAAACTTTAATTGTGAGTATAACAGCATTTCTGAGCTCTTTGAGTTTTTCTAGTGCTAATTATCAAAACTAAGGGTTGCGTGGGGACCCCTAACATCTATTATCCTTTAATGACTAGGTTTTGTACTGATAACACTTCTGTAATTCCGGATATTGGTAATTTGTATGTTGTCTCTGATCACTCTCCTTAGAGGTATATCACTTCTGTTTTTCTTAAACAACCAGCTTTTGGTTTTACGGAATTTCTCTATTTATTAGTTTTCTACATTTTTTATTTCTTCTCTAATCTTTACTATTTTATGCTTACTTTGGGTTTCATTGGCTCTTCTTTCTAAAGTAGAAATTGAGGTCCTTGATTTAAAACCTTTCTTCTTTTCTAAATAAATGTTCAGTGCTATAAATTTTCTCCTATAGATTGCTTTATCAGATTTCCATGAATTTTAATGTATTTT